GATACCTTGCTGAGTTTGCTGAGTTCTGATGTGATTCTGAGACATTTCTGTAAAGGTCAAATTCTCATCTCTGGGTGAACCACTGAAGACCAGGTGAAATCAGCTAATGAAGTCATATAGCATCCTACACAGATTTATAAAATATTTTGTGGTAGGGGCTGTAAGAAACTAAATTTATACTATTTTTTATTATTCTCTACTTGACATAGAAAGGAGAGTGGCATTGTACACATCAGAATCACCTTGCTCTTAATAATGACGCCAGGCCTGTACAGGACTGCACGTTCACATCATGCTTCCAATAGGAAGCATAAATTAAGGTCCTGGTGCCAAGATGTTCCTTATGCTATGATTTGTGATTAATTCACTTTGGAATTTGCTTTCAAGTCACTTGCATTTCTGGGTTGCTATTTCACAACGCGGTTCTTCTCTGCTCAGTATTTAAAGGTGCTTCTGTCAAGTCATTTAGTAAAATGTTCAATTCTTGCTTTCCCTGCAATAACATTTCGAATCTAAAGGCTCTGTCCTGTCCCTTTAACATGAAGGCACTTATGCTTTAGATCTCAAGATGTGTCTTTTTTCCAATCTGAGCTTAGTTAATTATTAAAAATGGGTTCAATAATTAAGGAGTTATACAGATTCATCTATTTTTCAGCACTTTTGAGTGTTTCTGCTTGCAGTACTTTTGGGGGGAAGAAATAATTTAAATATACTGCAGCTGTTGGTCTTTCAAACCTTCTACTCTCAAACAAGTCATTTATTTACCTGTTGCATAGTCCAGTCCAAATCAATTAAGGTTATTTTATGAACCCTGTATGTTTCATCTGAAATAGGGTTTATTTTCAAGGGGAAACAAGAAACGGGGCTCTGAGCCTCCGAAGAGTGGTACTGCAGAGGCAGGGGTCTTTGTTCCAGGGGACCCCCTTCAGGTATTCATGATCTTTATAGAGAGCCCACTGGTTCTTTGGAGGAGAGAAGCTGGAGAAGACCTCTGGGAAACAAACATTATCTCCCAGCTGGAGATGATTCCCTCCTGAGTTGTTCATTGGTTGTTCCCCATTTAGAAGCTGGGCGTAGGAATGCCTCTGAAAAGTGGTGTACCCTACCCAGCCAGCCTACCCTTGGTAGATGAGCAGAGGCCTGGAAACTTCTTCAAGAAGCAGGAGCAATTTGATTTGGCTGCCCAGTTACCCAAGCATTAATGTAAAGGACCATTTCAGACAGCCTGTGGTATCCAAGGTACCTATGTGGGTCTGGAAGATAGGACATGAGATTTACGTCAGACCAATGCCTTTCTGGAACAGCAGCTAGAGGCCAATCATACATCTAAAATGACATGTTTAAGCACCTGAAACCCAGCCACAGTCTCCAAACTAAGCCAACTGCAGACACCGCTGGTGATAGTGATGAAGGGGTTTGGTGGGTTTTGTGCTCTTTTTCAAGCTATCTTTGTTCAAACCTATTGCATACTGAAGTTGGAGAGCATGGGGGTTTCACGTTTTCCTATAATCGGAGCTATGTTAGATATAGGTCACAATGTTATACTCACTTTCAAAAAAATGTCCAATTTTAGGGTTACCAGCTGTAAATTTGTTTTAGAAAGGGAAATGGGAGATTTTAAATAGCAATGTATCACTACTGCTTGAGGAACAGTGTAATACATTTCTATGTGCATTTGTGACGGGCTCCCATCAAAACCATAGGGCTAGGAATATGTTATAGTTAAAGCAAAGAACCCTCAGTTATGGTCTCTCCTTGTTAAATTGACCAGAAAAGTATCACTGGCCAAATCCTGTGTGCCACTCCTGCTGCTTAGGGTAGAAGAGAATCTGATCTGCAGGTAGTGGTGTATGTGGGAATATAAATAGGAAGCAAGGAGAGAGGAATCTGCTAGACTTTTTTTTTCTCCTAACAAAAATACACTAAGACTTCTGGAAATTGGAAGTAGTCCTTATATGTGAGTACACACACACACACACACACAAACACACACACCTCAAATCATCAGGAAAAAGGAAAAACAAACTGGAGAATGGAAGACAGAGAGCAAGGTGGGGAGAGCACAGTAAGAAGTCAAGAAGAAAAAGGAAAAAAAAAGGGGGGGGGGAAATTTTTGGATACCTTGAGTATTCATCTTTGAGAAGAAGAAAAAAAAATTGAGAAGATTTTCCTTAAAAATTTTTATTTCAGAGCTTGGAAGTGGAAAAAAGCCTGAAATGAGCCTTTTTCATTGGAGCATATTTTGAATGCAGAACAGTGGTTTGCACCTCTTAATGACAAGAGTTGTTGCCCAGCAGTGTTCTTATAATGGCTACTGTAGTATGCGTGTGACAGATGTACACAACGGGAGGTAGTTGTGTGTCTGGCCACAGATGCACTCAAACACACACACTGACACATGCACACAAATCAGTACTATAAACAAAACGTCCAGAGCTGGAGAAAAATTGTATGCTGCTCAACATGCAGATGGGTGCTGTCAGTCGTTTGCTTTTATGCGAGTCCTAAAAATTCACGAGGTTCACTCAATGAAAGAAGGTAAATGAATAAAGATGATGAGACCGCTGTTAGTAAAAGAATGCACATAGGCTGGTATCAAGAGGGTTTTTCTGAGCTGGCTAAAGCAGTGTTGAGGATAAGGTCTCACAGGGAAAATCTTTGATGGTTGTGCTCATGAATGGTGCAAGGTGGGCTTTAGGTATGTCTACATTAGAAAACAGTGTGGCCCAATAGAAGCAGATCTGTAGAGCAAATTATGTAGGTGCTGAGGATGCAGGGTCCACACTGTATGTGGTTTTGGGCCTACTATAAAGTTAGTCTAGTCTGGTTCCATTAGCAGCTAAAGTATAGTATATGTCCTACTGGATTACAGTCTCTGCATTAGTTTCATCTGAAGGAAATCCATTTGGTGCACTCCAAAACAGTTCCATGAACTGAAGTACATGAAGGGAAGGATGTCTGGGAGATTTGCTTAGCTGTAAGTTGGGAAAGTTCAATTCCAATTTAAGAAAAAAGAAAAGATGATAAGCCAGAAGTATCTCAGCTAGGTTTAGGTGCCCATCAACTCATTGACACACAGAGCAGGTGCTCAAATACACTTCAAGGTGACAGAGTATAAAGACTTGATTGTTCCTTCTCTCTTTCTGCGGTGAATTAATTGACTTGGAGGTGCCACTCCTTATTGTTGTCTACATCAAGGAAAGAACTGGGACACTAGGGTATAAGCAACGAGAAAGTGAAATGGGAAATGGAGGGAGAGAAACTTGCTTAAAATAATTTGAAAATGATTTATTGGGTGCAACCTCTACCCTCAGTGATTTCTGGTGTTATTACTTTTCTACAGTACAACCAGGGAGGACAGTAACTTGCTGTGGGCTAAAGGTAAATTATGATCTATAGCAAAGGAGGGAAGGAAAAATATACTAAAGGTGGGTGTGTGAAGCACATGCTCTCCCCTGATGGTGTTCAGTGTGTTGGATCTCACTGGATCAATCTGTTCCAAGTCTTTCTAGGGAAAAAGAAATCATAGAATCATAGAATGTTTTGGTTTGGAAGGGAGCCCTAGAGGTCACCCAGTCCAACCCCCCTGCAGGAGCAGGGACACCGCTAACTAGATCAGGTTGCTCACAGCCCCGTCCAACCTGACCTTGAATGCTTCCAGGGATGGGGCCTCCACCCCCTCTCTGGGCAACCCATCCCAGTGTTTCACCACCCTCATTGTTTGTGGCCCTCCTCTGGCCCCGCTCCAACACTTCCATGTCCTCCTTGTGCTGAGGGCTCCAGAGCTGGACGCAGTACTCTAGGTGAGGTCTCGCCAGAGCAGAGTAGAGGGGCAGAATCACCTCCCTCGACCTGCTGGCCACGCTTCTCCCGATGCAGCCAAGAATTAAAGCAAACATCATGAAGCAAAGAAGGGAGGGTGAAATGGCAAGAGGTTTCATTTCTGGGGCTTGTTGCATGCTACATTGTTGGTATCTGTCCACTGAAAAGGAGGAGGAGATTTGGGAATCTGCAGTTGCAACCTTGCTACTGCCTTCCAGTGGTGGCCTAAGGTTGCTCATGCAGGGAGCACATCTTGAAGTTCTGCTGACCTGTGTATTCACACTGCTGCAACCCATCCCCATCCATAGGTTGAAAAGTTGCAAATATGTTTTCAGATGTAGCCAGACTAAGGCCTCACCAAGAATATGTTTCAGCAGTGTTTTCTGAAATTCAAGTTTTCTAGAAAAAAATCCCCAAAGTTACAACATTTAAAATAGTGTATGATGATATTTTTGCTTTCAGATAAAAAAGGTTGAAGCAAATTCTTTTAATATGAAACTTTTAAGCCCCTTAACCCAAGATTTCAAAAAAATGACCCCTCGTTTTGGATCCCCCAATGGAGACAGTTTCGAGATGACCTTGTGTTTCTAGCTAAGCAATCTGTAGTCACTCTTAAAAGTTTTCCAAACTGTTGATATTTGTCTTTCCTTATATCACTGAGATGTTACTAACAGAAGCATGTGGTTTTGTGAATGCAAATTATTTGTGGGGCTAGATTAGTGAATCATTTTGGACACTTGACTTGGGAATCTGATAAATCAGAGTGGCTTTTGCACTCAGGGAAGGATGATGATCCCTGCAGAAAGTGCTTTTCTCCATCGGTTATAAAGGATGCTTAACAAGAGGGTGTTTCTCACATAAGGAAGTCAGTTTGGGGGAATGGAACTGAACCTCATCTCCCACTGCCTGTCGAGCAAACTTCTTTGCAACATGTTTTTTTTTAGCTTTTTTTGACCAATAAAGACAAAAGATATGGAATGAAGATGTTTGGAAAGCACTGAATTTCTGATTGAAGCAGATGTACACAAATCTTTTGGGGCATTAATCCCGTCAAAGAAAGGAATGACTGTGGGATGATGGAAGTGAGGAAGAGTTTCCTAAGCACTCTAAGCACTCTGCTCCTGGGGTTTTTTTAATGTTGATTGACTTGCTGCTTAATTTTTATTTTTTCTTTTCAGGTTGGATGCCCAAAGTAGCTTTCACACACTTGAAATCATCAGCTCATGCTAATGACACACGACTGCTGCTCCAGGAACCTGTTGACTGGCACCCCGGTGATGAAATCATGGTGGGAAGGACAGGCGTTGGAGAAGTGCAACAGCAAGAAGAAATGGTTGTTATTGAGTCTGTGAACAACACGGAGCTGTACCTTAGATCACCACTCAGGTACCCTTTCGAGGGCCAAGGGGATTTCTATAGCAGAGAGATAAACCAGGGGAAAAATTTGGTCAAGGTGAGGATTTGCAGTTTCCTGAGGGACACAATAACTATATAAATCCCTTTAACAAAGGTGGACAGGGATATTTTAGTTCCTTGCTCCCCCTAAAGCAAGTGGACGTTAAATCTTGAATGTCTCTTGCTATGTTTAAATTCTGTATCATAACCATGAACTCAGAAAACCTTTGAAGCAGAAAACACTGATGGCCAGTACAGTCCAGTGGTCTCATCACAGAGTTGACAAAGAATTTTCCTGCACAGTTTATTTCTTGTGAAAGTGCTTTTTTTTTTTTTTTTTCACAAGAAGTGTCTGACTTCTGTAAAAAAAAAAAATCCTCCATTCTAGGCTGATTTACTTCGGCTGATTAACAACACACACAAAGTGAATTGCTTCAGTTTGGAAACACTGCTCCTGTGTTTTCAGGGAATGGTAGTTTCACTGCCTTGTGCTCTCTTCGTCCTCTGTGTGTGGAGGTCTTGGACAGACTATACTTCTTATCATCATAACCTGGAGCCTCGGTGTTGAAACATCTTATCTGTTTGGGAGGCAACGCAACTCAGATATATTTCATATAATCATAGAATCATAGAATGGTTTAGGTTGGAAAAGCCCTTTAAGATCATCAAGCCCAACCGTTCCCCTAACCCTGCCATCCCATCACTAAATCCTGGCCCTAAACACCTCGTCTGCCTGGCTTTTAAATCCCTCCAGGGATTGGGACTTCACCACTTCCCTGGGCAGCCCCTTCCAGTGCTTGACAACCCTTTTGGGGAAGAAATTTTTCCTAATGTCCAACCTAAACCTCCCCTGGCGCAACTTGAGGCCATTTCCTCTCATCCTATTGCCCGTTACCTGGGAGACCAACACCCACCTCCCTACAGCCTCCTCTCAGGCAGTTGTAGAGGGCGATCAGGTCTCCCCTCAGTCTCCTCTTCTCCAAACTAAACAACCCCAGTTCCCTCAGCCGCTCCTCATAAGACTTGTGCTCCAGACCCCTCACCAGCTTTGTTGCTCTCCTCTGGACATGTTCCAGCATTATGTGGCACTTAAGGAAGAAAGTACTGATGGTTTTTACCAAAATATGACATAATCTAAGGAAAACTTGTGAGACTGAGAGGCAAAAAGATGAAAACAAGGAAAAATATATCTAGCCTGTATATGCAGACACATTGACTATGCCACTGTCCGTGGTGAGACAGGACTGAAACCAGCTCTGAATTTGGGCAGCTGGAGTCATAAGTTTAGGGTAAACATAATTCTTGCCATCTGGCAGGTGCAGATTCTTTTGCACCTTTTTTGTGTCTCTCCCTAGGTACTCCCACAACGTTGGAGAGGGATGGGTGAACGGCCAAAGCCTGCCTTTGAGTGCTGTGGTGGCACTGATTAGCAGAAGGGTGGTTGTTCAAGGAAATGTCACGATGGAGAGGATGTCACACCTCAGAGAGTGTGCAAAAGCAGGTGTTACAAGAGGTGAGGAGGTCTTTTCTCACAGAAATGTGCTGAGGAGGAAAATTGCTCCATTAACATCACATTGTAGCATCACTGTGTATTAGAAACCTCTCCTAATATGACAACTTTGAGACATACCAGTGCCAGGAAAGCGGGTTTATCTTTCCAAACATCGTTTGACATTGAAGTGTGAAGCCTCTGGAGTCAAACTGCATTTCATTGTAATATCTCAGATGTATTATTTTCACACTGTTGTTTCAAGCCATCCTGGGAAAGACCCTTTAGTTTTGCCTGAGCCTAAGGGTATAGAAAAGAAGGTATCTTCTGAAAACATGTTTCAGTGTACATAATATATTAAATTTTTAATTGTGTTTACTATTTAATCACTTTAAGAAGAAGGAAAAACAAAACAGCCCAATGCTGTTTGTACTCTTTAGTGTAAAATATTGAGACGTTGTTTAGTGTTTAGGGATACCAAGAAAAAAAGACAGGTGATTGTTTCTCGTAGCATATCGTAACACTGGTGAAACAATGTTAGGTATCCCAATTCTCCTTTGTTTTTACACCTGTTAAACACCATGAAGTTTGACAGGTGGCTTCTGATTTACACCAGCTGATGAGGAAGCAGAATCAGACACGGTGATTATAATTTGAGGAGAGTTAGGTTATCTGGCAACCCAGTTGTAAGGTTTCCTTTAAAAATAAAATGCCTTGGGCTTTCAGACTGTGACACAAGACTTCATTTGATATCCAGCAGCCAACTGCTTATATTACTCATAGATTTATGGTCCATTTTCTGTGGAACTCATAAATATAGCCTCTGAAATGTGCTAACCATTTGAGGTTTTTATTTGAGTTAAAGGATAGGAGGATTTCTCAGAGGAGTCACCAGAAGATGAGTGGGCAGTGGTTTTTGTGATTAATTTGCCTTCTTTAAAAGAAAAATGAGCATTACTGAGCATAAGCAAGCAGTGCTGGAATTTGAAAACCCCTCTGCACCTTCACTGAACAAGCCCAAGTTGCACACTTATATCCTGAATCCCCTTGTACCAAAATATTCCAACCATAGATCCATGGAAAGATGCATTTCAGGAATGTCGATTCCTTCCCCAGCCCTATGTTTTACCTTCTTTCTCTTCAGACTGTGGGTAGTAACAGTTCCTCACCCATCTGCAGGGACAGTGGGGAGAGAGAGCAAGAGTGTTAAGAAATTTCAAAATGTCCTCATTTCAGTTTAGTTCAGTACATCCATGCCCAATCCCCTTTTCAAAAGCTTCACCCAAGGTAAATCAATGTCAAATCCACCTTCCCCATGCATAAGACTATTTGAAATTGAACACAAGGAACTTTCCAAGGCATAAAACTACTACAGCTTCCTGCTGGTTTTAATATATGTTCCTCTAAAAATGTCCAGACTCTTAGGGAAGTGTATGAGAGTATATTGAGGGAGTATCAAATATGCTTGCCTGCGGGTATTTGTCTTCGGGCCCATGTTTAAGATCACCACTGGAGATGGAGTCTCACTGAGTCCATGTGGTGGGTCTCACGGTGTTGCTTGGGGCACCCTGCACATCCCATGGTCACCATGGAGAAGTAACACTGACAGATCCCACTGGGTTGTATTCTAGGTGGCTCCAGGTGTCTGTACAAGCTAAGCGAGAGACAGCTGGGGTCTCGGGACCTGGGGGCCATCATGGTTGTGGAGGCCTTCCAGGGAGAGGTGAGTCGGCTCCAGGTGGAGGGGGTCCAGTTCCGCCATGTGGGCCAAGCGTTTCGGCAGGACTGCAGTGCCCTGACTGTCACTGGCAATGCGCGGATGTCAGGTGAGACGGCTTCACTAGAGGTGGGCCCAAATGATCTCAAATGTCCACCTTTTTCTTCCCAAAGCTGGGGCAGGTGTGCCAGCTCAGCTCTCAGGTCGTTTGACAGATCGGTAAATGCAAGGAAACCTCACTTCTAGTCAGCCCGAGTGAAACTAGATGGAGCGCTTTAAGTTGCTTTAGATCTTTTGCATCACTGGACAGTTTCTTCCTGAAATGATATTTCATTTTTATGCCACGCATCTGAGTGGGCATGGCACTTCTAGCTCTGGAAATGAATGCACTAATATACTGTGAGGGAGCCCAGAGGTGGCTCAGGGCTGTGCACAGGCCAAAATGTAATTCTGTCACCTGAAGGTTAAGGAACATACTAAGTTTGTTTGATTTTGTCACTGATAAGTGCAAAATTCCTCTCTGTGGAAGTGTTAATGAGGGCTCTGATGACTGGTGGTGGTAGTAGCAAGTTAGGTGGGCTCAAATAATGTTTTAAGGGTACTGGATGGGATTTTCCCCTCCAGCTAACCCACACATGACTTTCCTATGCCGTCTTCATCACTGAGTGAGGATCAGCTTTCTGGTGGCAGAAGGCAGCACTGGCTGTGATCCTGGAGTACAGTGGGCAGGTCATCATGCCTGGCTAGACAAGGTGTACAAGATACCTGCCCTATCCTCACCACCCTTCTGAAACATTCCTCCTCTCCTTCAGTCCTGCTTCAATCATCCAGCTGCCTAAGCTCACAACATACCTCACTCTTGGCATCTTACCCTAGCCTTTCACTGGATCTCTTCCTCCTTTTCACAATAGTGGACCACCTCTGTTAACCCATTTCATAGAATCACAGAATTATTAAGGTTGGAAAAGACCTCCAAGTTCATCAAGTCCATCCATCAATCCAACACCATCATGCCTACTAAACCATCTTCTGAAGTGCCATGTCTACACATTTTTTGAACACCTCCAGGGATGGTGACTCCACCACCTCTCTGGAAGCCTGTTCCAATGCTTGACCACTCTTTCAGTAAAGAAATTTTTCCTAATATCCAATTGAAACCTCCCCTCACACAACTTGAGGCCATTTCCTCTCGTCTTATTCCTAGTTACTTGGGAGAAGAGACCAACACCCACCTCACTACAACCTCCTTTCAGGCAGTTGTAGAGAACAATAAGGTCTTCCCTCAGCCACCTCTTCTCCAGGCTGAACACCCCCAGGTCCCTCAGCCACTCCCCATAAGACTTGTGCTCCAGACCCTTCACCAGCTTCATTGCCCTTCTCTGGACACGTTCCAGAGTGTTTCTGGAGCATGAAAATGCTGTGTGTTTCTGCACTCAGGGCTCCTTTTCCCTACTGTGCAATGCCCACCAGTTGGCAAAGATCTGCCAGGGGAGTAAGGGTGGGCAGCTGCAACTGAGCAGTCTCATGGGAGCCAAAAGGATTAACTGCACAGCACCAAAGGATGAGGAGCTAATATAGACTTCTCCCAACCTTCGAGACCCAGTGTGCTTTTTGCTCACAGGACTAATTTCTTTCCAGACTCTTACATACGTGGCTGTTGTATTTTGGACTCCTTCGGCCAAGGACTCCGTCTGACCGGGATCTCAAACCTTAATGTGGACAGCAATGTTTTCTATAACATTTCAGGCCATGGGCTTCTACTAGGTAAGTGAAGCAGGAACATTTCTATCCTACATGTAACAGTAACACATAGCGATTATCATTTGCATGAAAATGCCTTTGGAGGAAAGAATGGCAGATCCTTAACTGCATCGTGAGAACTTTAATCACATCTTAGACATTTTTCTGGTATCAGTGAATCTGGAATAAAACTCCCAAGATGCCACATGCAACTCCTAACAGCTGTTTCCTTTTGACCATACACTCTACATTTCACCAGGTCAGTCCTCACTTGATCTGGATCCCTTTTTTTATCAGTGTACAAGTGGAAGGAGATTTTTTTAGGGAATTGATTTATCTGTCTTTGGAGAAGTGCCATTATGCAATATTTAAGACCCCAGTTCAGCGAGGCATTTAAGAGCATACTTACCTTTAACTTCAGTCATTTGACATCGAAGATAATGGAGTGAAAGCATATGTTAAAAGTTAAGCAGAGGATTTAGCACTTAAATAAATTGGAGCTTGGAGCAACAAAAATGTTAAACAACAAAATATTTCTCCTAACTAACCATCAGGAGACTGACTTGCAACATCTTCTGCTGGGATCTCATGTTGCCTGAATACCTAAAGATATAGCTCGATTTTTTGTTTTCCATCAGAGATGGGGAAAAAATGACCAATTTTAAGATAAACAGAGGGGGAAAAAGAAGCCTTCAGCCCTGATCCTGCAGTTCCACACACACAGCGAGTCCCTATGCTGGGTCCTGTATATAAACATAATGAGTAGTGATAGATTACGATTTGAGACCTATAAAAGGAGAGCGATTGTATACGTCTTGCAAACAAAAGAGAGCTGGCTCAGAGAGATGCAACGACTCGCCCAAGGGGATGCACAGAGCCCTTGTGGCCATGAGGAAGCGGACCAAGATCTCCATCCTGCCAGCACGCCTTGGCTC